AATCCAAGTGGACACTCTAGGCTTTGGCGCTCTGTGGACAGCCCTCAAGAGCCCTCAAGGATGTCAGGAGCTGCATCCTTGCCCAAGCCCGGATGTGATGCTCTAGGGAGGGACCCGGCAGCTGCTCCTCCCTGTGCCAGCTGCCACCTCTTACAGAGCACCTCCTGTCAAGTGGTACCTGTTTTGGTCTTTGTAAAAAATTACCACCACTACCACCACCACCACTGCAACCCCTCCCCCACAAAAGAGCAAAGTAACCATTGCTGGTGCTGGTGCTGAGGAGGAAGAGCCGGTGAAGTAACCTGACACTTTCCTCCCTCCTGGGGGTCTGTGTGCGATGGGCGTGCTCTTGAACTTGAAGGTGGACAATGGCTAACAGTCACGGAACCCTGATCACGGGTGAGGCTGTGTGCCGGTGCTTGCGTTTGTCTTCTCATTTTGTTTTCTCATTTAATCTTCTCAACAGGTCTGTTTTTATCTTTTCTTTTCTCTAACAAAGAAACAGAGACTCCAAGATGATAAGTAATTTACCCAAGGTCACACAGCCAGTGCTGGCAGAGTGGATTTGAAGCCACATGATCCGACTCATTCCGGAGCGTGTGCTCTTAACCATTGTCTTCACCGCGTCTCCCAGAGAGGTCCAGGACACATCCTTAGCAGATAGCTGGGAGTTCTGTACTCACTTAACACTGCCTGTTCAGAGAGGAGCAGTTGTATCTTAGTCTATTACTTTGGGTTTGAATTAAGTTTTAATGAAAAATAGCCAAACAACCTACCTTTAGCTTCTTCCCTTTCCATTAAATTTTCCATTTTGACTCATTTCTAAAATACAGATTGATCATCTCTCACTCCCCTAGGCTCATGAAGGTTCAGTGGCTTCTCTCCGCTTCCAAGAATATGACAAACCACTTAGCCTGGCGCATGAGGCCCCACAAACTGGCCCAGGCACTGTGTCCTCATCTCCCACCACATCCTTCAAGTAGGACTCCTAAGCAGATTACAAGCCAAGACTTGTCTAATTCCTTGCCTGAAATGTGATTCTCCCATCCTGAAATCCTGTTCATCCATCAAAGCCAGGTCAACCTGAGGGACAAATCACGTATAGAATAACAATGAATATTACTATTATTTTAAAAATAATTCTACATATTACTAGGTCCTATAATACTCCACTAAGTCTGAGAGAAAAGATTAACTGAAAAAGGTCTCAGCCTTTTGTAAACAAGTGATTAGTAAGGTTTTCAACAGTAGATTCAAATTCAATTTTAAATTAGGGAATACTTAACATCACCCCCAGTGGGTTTTTCCCCCCTCAACAGCTCTGAATCTACCAGAAGGCCTTTGCAGAGATTTTTCTCAAAGTGTAACGAATTCTACTTTCTATATCATCTCTTCCTGTTTAATTATAAGGATTTGAATTTGCAGCACCAATTAATCAGTAATTAGATAGCACTGTACCAAAAGAAATTAAACAAAGATTAAAAACAAAAACACAGCTCAGCACAAGGCCACATCATCTGGCAATGCTTCATGTGGTGTGGTAACAATACTTCCTGAGAAATACAGGTTAACTGAGGCATTAGCAGCGTGCTCCTTTGATTTGCTGCTGTTGTTAGTAACCTCCAATGCCAATGGGAAACTTAAAGGTACTGCAAGTCCCAGAACACTCGGGTTATACTAATAATTACTCCTCTTTTCACTCTTTGTCGGAAATCTGCTTTGTTATTACTCAACAATCATTCTGAAGCATCAGCGTTTAGAAATGCAAAATAAATGCATATTTAATCATGATACGTTCTCTATTGATCTTCATACTGAAAGAACACACAAATCAGCTCCTGAGTTAATTGTCAATGAGACCTCTGAAACAAAATGTTCACGTTAGATGTGAAAAATCAAAAAAGGTGCAAAAAAGATTGAGGAAGGAAAAATGAAGGTCCCTGAAACCAAGATGTGGAAGAGGGGAAAGCCATGACTGAATAGCAAGTCCGTTCGGGGTGCACGGCAGGTGGCCAGGGGACCTTCTCCCCACAAAGTCATGCTATTTCCCTGTGCCGGACTCATGGGCCTCTCATCCTGGTTCTTAAACCTTTTGTAAACAAAGAGAAAGAGAAGACTGACAGTTGGAAAGAAGTCAGCAGCTCCTGTCATTCAGTCTTGGAAGAGATGGCAGTGTGGCCTGCTCGGGCGCGCCCCCTGCTGGCGTGGAGTGATCCTGACAGCTGGGCTCTGACAGGGCCGACACCCGGAGGAGCCGCACCATCTACATTGCGGTCTCTCTAGCACGCCTTTCTCCTTCAGGGCCCCCAAGTAACTCCTTCCCGCTGTGACCACGCCTACATGGGAATATTGAGTCAAAAAACGCTCCAAATTACCTTCAGGTGCTTTACATTCTTTCCCTGGTAGTGTTTCAGGAGGCCTCACTTCGAGGGGAAAAAAAACACAAAAAAACTGGCATCACCTTTAGTCCCAAGTACCAGGATCTTATAAATTGGGGATATATAAAATCTCTTGATGGTATGCCAGCTGAGAGAGTAGTTTTGTTCTCTAAGTGTATGAAATTACCTTGAAAACTTCTGTGGAGCGAATTTCATTGTGCAGCCTTGGGCTTGCTTTCTAGAAGCATTTTTCTCTGAAACCAGTAATTTGTCTTTTGACGGATCAATTTGCCGAGAAAGAGCATAAGGAGCTTTGAAAACGACAGAAGAAAATTTCAAAGATTCCCATCTTTTGGTACCTTGGATTGCAAGGGTAAGCTTTGCTTAGTAACTGAATTACTAACGGAATTACTACAGCGTGGTGAACACTGGAGGGCCAAATTGTAATAATTGTAACTTCATGATGATATTAATTGACCAGCTCCCCGGCCCAACTAAACTGGGGACCATTTGGTTTTTCTCCAGTTCAAGAGTCTCCTTTCCCTTTGTGTTGTGAAGTGATGCTCTAAGAACTCTCTAAAACTTCATTGCTTTTCCAAATTATACAGCATACCTGTGAGTGAAAGCCACATCTGTCGAAGTGTCAGTTCCTCCTTCGATATGGCTTATTAATCCTCTGTCGGACTTCTGCAACTGTTCCCTAATACGAAAATGCCCATCTCTCAGGAGGTGGTACTATTTATCTGATGTCACAGTACTACATGCATTTTGGCCTCTCGATATTAAGTTGTTTATTGAAATAAACTTAAGCTGGCTCCAGTTCACGATGATCTTTATCTTCTGAACCTTGATTCAGAGTTAACTGGCCAAAATTAATGAACCAGAGTAACCTCTTCGTCTCAGAGGCGCTTCACTGGAAGGGTAACTTGGTGACCACCTCTGGGAGGAACGGTCCTTCCTCGAGCAGAGGGCAGTAAAGCAGAGTTTAAACAGCCCAGGCTGCATTTCCTCCATTCTCTCCATCCCAGGAAATGGCTCTAGTTAATGTTCAGCCCAACACCTGGACACCTTCCCGGTTGCTCACCTCCCGCACCCAGGACAGCACCAGTCTGGCCAGGCCACCTGCCGCTGCCCCCACCCTCGTCCACACCATGTTTCCTCTTGTCCAGACTCCCAACAATTATCTCCTAAGTGGCTTCCCTGCTTCTGTTCTGCCTTCCCTAAAGTCCCTTCTCCGTATAGCTGCTCAGGTCATGATCTTAAAGATATTAATCATATTATGTCACTGGGACGGCTTAAAGCCCCCTGGTGACTTTCTGTTCCACTTGAAATAAAATCGGAACACCTTCTGCGGCCACGCTAGCCCCCTAGCCAGCTCAGCCTGCTCCCCTTCTCACACCAGCGGGTCACCCTTCAACTGTCCGGCCCTCGTTCCGGCGGCCTCTCCTTCACACAGCTGTCTCTTCTGCTTGGAGTCCATCTCCCCTTCTCCTCCTCCATGCTTCACCTCCTCAGACAGACCTTTCCTGACCCTGCTAAATGCAGCTGCCCAGGGTCACTGTCATGTCAAACGGTCCATGCCCTGCCTAGCCCTTGTCACTATCAGAAATTCTCCTGTTCCTTGTGTTTCTTCACTGATAATTGTGTTTCCCCCCACCAGCCTTGTGCGTGGTTCACCACGCATCACCCACGCCTTGGAACAGTGTCTCGCCCAGTACAGTCCTCCCAGTAAACATCTGTTAGGTGAATGACCAATGAAAGAACCCATCTGTTCCTAATACTGTATGTTTGACAGTCACTTCACCTCTGGACTACAGCTTCCTCATCTGTACAATAAAACTAACAAAACACTGGATTTTCATGGGGACGAGCTCAAGGGGTGAGCGTGGACAATAGCGTGTGGTACAGGGCACGGAGGATGCAGAGCGAGCCGGGTTAACAGTGCCCCTCCCTGTTTTCCAGGAAGTCTTCAGAGGAACTGGACATGGACAAGGTGACCGCGGCAATGGTACTGACCAGCTTGTCCACCAGCCCTTTGGTTCGAAGCCCTCCTGTGCGGCAGAATGGTAAGCTGGGATACCCGGCACAGGGAAGGACCCCGACACCGAGAATAGAGCTTGTCTTTGAGGGGCCCCATTCCTGCCAAACACGATGAACAATGAACCCTTGCCCATTAGCAGGGAGCAAGGGGAAATGTGGAAGAAATGGACCCCAGAGCTACCAGCCACCTCATCGTCCTGAAGGCCCCACTGCATCTCATTCATACATCCATCCATTCAGCTCACCATGTATGAATCCCCACCACCCTTCCCCATCACATCTTTGAGTAGTTGTGGTCCTTTTTTTTTTCCCAGATAAATGGAGATGGGTCTAATGAAGTTTTTCCCCAGCATTTTTTTATTCTGTTTGATTGGAGAGGGAGCTGAATCAAGAACTCTGAAGATTAAATGTCTTGAAAAAGCATTACCCCGGACCCCTTAATCTGTTCTTTCATTCAATACGTATTTAGTAGGTACTGTAATAGATGGCTTAAATGCAAAATTGAAACATGTCCATACTCCCAGGTAGTGAACAATCTCCCTGGGGACAAAAAAAAAAAAGACTATCACAGCTGTATTAATGGCAAGCATTTATTAAGCACTTCACTATGTGCCGACTCCTCAGCTTGCTTTATCTCATGTAATTCTCACAACAATTTTATGAGATGTTATCACTATTTTACAGATGGGTACACTGAGGCACTTGGGGATTAACGGACTCGAAAGAGCAGAGCTGAAGTTCTATTCCATATCTTTCTGATTCCAGAGCTGCTATTTTAGTCACAGTACAGGACTGACTCGTGTAATTCAGTGTGATAAATCAGGAGGGCAAGGGAGACGCGATGGGAGAGTCTGGCAGGAAACGTACCACGAGGGGCCATGTGTGCCTGGCTAGGAATTTGGACATTGATTTGAGGCTATATAGGAGAGCTGTTAAGTGATTTAGGCACTGAAAGTTATGACTGGGTTTACAGGCAAAAAGAAAAACAAAAACCAGGTGGGTATCCTGAAACCTGGTGGTCACAGTGGGGACGAACAGGGCATAGCTGAGAAATGGGAAGCAGGCTGAAGCAACAGGACTTGGCGATGGACAGAGAGGATGAAGGAGAGTGGGTGACAAGGGTGACTTCCGGGCAGCTGCTGTGCTTCAGCAAGGAGGTCCCATCCCTGGGACGGGGACTGAAGGCAGAGGAATACATCTGTCAGTGAATGATTGGAACAAGAGGTGGGGATGCTGAAGACGATGACAGGTCCAGTCTGAAGCACGTTTAGTAGGGAGGACCTGAGGATCCTCCAAGGGGCAGCGTCTGATGGAGATTTGGGTACAGCCCGGGAGAGCTGGGCTGCTGTAGAATGGGAAGGCAACATTTTTGAAGCCAGGAGAGAAGATGCGATCACCCTGGGAGAGTAGTGGAAAAGTGGAGGGTGAAGAGAAGATGTCTGAGGGGGAAGTGATGAGGTTTCTCATCATGTATGGAAAAGAACCCAGGAAGAGGCTGAGGGGGTACTGGAGATGGAGGAGACTAGGAGAGTGGGATTTCATGGAAGCCAAGGAAAAGCATGTTTCAAGGAGTGACATCTGATGTTTCAGAAGGTCAAGCATGGAAAGGACTGAATTCTACACACGAAGAACTTGGTGGTTTTGGCAAGAGCATCCACAATGGGCTGACTACCCGTGAAGTGGAAGCCACACTGCAGTTCACTGAAATGTAAGCCACCAAAACCACTGAGTGGAACTTACCAGCCAGGGAAGACATTCTCTCAAAAGCCAGCCTAGTCAATTATGAGATAGAGTATGGTTCACACATAATCCAGTTGTGAACATGAGGCGTTAAAATAAATCTGTTGGACGTCCACTGAGTCCCCACCAAAACTGGCTCCAACCCATTTGTAAGTGGGAAGAGGGATCAAGATGCTGGGAATTCAGATTAAAACCAGAAACCAGGAATGCCACCGTGATGACTCACCATGAGCTGGGGTAATGTCACCTCTTCCCACAGAGTCGATACGGTGCTCTTGAGATGAGTCTGATCTTTCCTGCTGTCTTTCTCAGCTTGGCCAAGCTGCTAAAGAAAGATTATAGTAGAAGCAAAACTGAAGTCATCCCCAAAACCTATTCCAGGAAAAAGAAATTACAGAATGTCATGGAATCTTCAGGGAGAAAAAAGTAATTGTGATGTAATGATAACTTTTACCATTCGATTTTTTTAATTGAGGACATTTTAAATATTCCTTTGCCTTAAAATGTTAAAATCAAAAGAAATCTTTTGCTTCTCCAGTACAAACTTTTCTTAACATAGTTATAAAGTATTCATTATGTCTTAAAAAATAACTACCCAAATAGTAATCCCAAATTGTCTATCATTTATTTTGCAACAGGAAGCAAATTCTTAGAAGGGAAAAGCAACTTATGATAATGATGGCTTTTTTAAAGAAACAAGGATTATCTCCAGGATTTTTGTATATCAGTGAAATTTTGGAAACTCCTGTGATCCTTCACTTTACTGGAAAAGGATCATTTTGTTAGGATGTAGGTCTGTAAAGAGGGTGAGATTCCAGCAAAATGCCTGTCTGCATTTTTTGGTAAATACTTGTTTAAGATTAAGGAGACACTGTTCTCTAAAAACTATTATGAATGGGTTTTGACTTTTTTGTGAAAAATTTGTTTCTATATCCCATTGTCCTTCTGATGAAAATGTTTCTAACGGAAATGTCATTCGCCAGTAAACAAATTAACTTTTGGCACTGGCTTGAAGCAGGGTAACCGCACGGGAACAATAGATGGTTCTCAAAATAATTTTAGTTCCTCACACTTAACATGATTACACATCTAGCATCATGAACTTATTTTATTTTACGAGTGCACGCTGCGGGATATTTATAAGCCTCCTGGGCCTGCCAAGTGCGTCTGTCACACCAGGTAATATTACCGACGGCTTTACATGAGGCTCTTTTTGGAGTTGTGTTGTATCGAATGGAGCTTTCTTATTTATAATAGGCGGCTCAGGTCCAGGGAGTGAATCTGTCTCTGTGTAGACTGCCGGGAGGGTGATGCTAATTTGGTGGTGTTGATGCTGTCAAGGTGTGAGCCTGCATAAATGACCACTCGATTCTGTTAGAGCCTTGCTTTAATGAGATGGTTAACTTACTTCTGCTCTTCAACTTAAAACTTGGTTCATCTAACCGAACTTTTTGCTTGACATAGTTGGGGAGTATGCTAAAAATCTATAATTAGGTGAAGGTAGTCAGGAAATTTTTCCATGAATGCTGGTCTCCCATTTGTCTTCACGTCATTACTAATGACACAGATGTTAATGGCATTTTTTTAATGAGGCATTTTGGGATTTTTTTTTTCCTCCTTGTAGTTAGAATACAGTTTTAATATATTCAAAATGCACATTAATATGGAGGAGAGATGATCCAAAAAGAAAGGAGAATTTATACCAATGCTAATTAAGACTGGGCATTTTGAAAAGTAAAGCAAATCTTCAGTGATTAAAAGAGCCCCCGAAGACATTCCAACTGGGCAGAGATCTCTCTACATTAGCAAGCATCTCATCATGTTTTCCCCCACAAGTGGAAAGGTAAAATTTAACTCCAATCTTAGCAGTAATTATTACCAATAAATTCTTTTCTGCTCTCAGCTTTGCCAGATGAAAAGAAGGATGCTCACAGCACAGGGTCTGCTCTCACTGAAGGCCAACTGGTAGACCAGGGTTTGTGGCCGGGGCCCTTCCGGGTTATGTAATTACTAGTCATAATTACGTGACAAGTCACTTAACTCCCTGGTGCCTCAAGGTTCTCGGCTGCAAAATAGGCGTGGTAATCCTTACTCTGAAAGAAAGATGTGAGAATGTGTAAGATTGTGTGAATGAGCTTTGTAAGATAGAAAACACACACCCAAAGTAAAACTATTATTTGTTATAGTAAGCAAGATGGTAAATGGCTTTAGGTAACTAATTAGAAATTATGTCTCTTGGGTTCTTAAATCTTAGACTAACTTTACCTATGTCTTCCAAGGACCGCAATCCTGTAAGAAATTCCTTTTAAAAAGTTAAAAAGCGGGTGGGTGGGTGGTGGGGTTGAAGGTAGGGGGTAAAATACCGCAGATGATTCTCCCCTTAGAAATACAGTCTGCAGAGGGAGGGTGTAGCTCGAGTGGAGCGCATGCTTAGCTTGCACAAGGTCTTGGGTTCAATCCCCAGTGCCTCCACTGGAAAAAAAAAACTAATAATAAATAAGTAAAGCTAATGACCTCCCCCCCCCAAAATAAATTTAAAAAGAAAAAGAAGAAAGAAATACAGTCCATAAATGCCAAGCTCCCCAAACTTAGTGACCCAGAACTTTTTTTTTTCTTGTTTTCATATCATCTCTACTTTCCTCCTCAGGCACTAGTGTTGCACAAAGCAACACACATCAGAAAATAGAAAAACCTGCTCTCGTGTGGTTAAAAATAACTAAATGTTTATAAACTCGAATGCAACTTTTTTTTTATCTGAGATCTACGTAGAGTAACACTCACACACTCAGCTGGTGCGCGTTGCCGAGGGGGCGGCAGGTGCCGCGTTCCGCCAGCGCAGCGTCCAGGCCCCGCGCCGCCCCCGCCCCGCCCCCTCCCCCC